ACCGCTAAATCATCTAGGTAATTTACGTGGCCGACCGTTGGAGCGTTCCTGTTTTCCAGAAGACCGGCCTCAAGGTCGACTTTTGTAGAAATACCTCTCCAGGCCGTCAGACATGCGTCCGTGGAAGATCGGGGGCCCTTTTCTTTTTCGATAAGAACAGACCCATAAGCATGCCCCCTTACTGTTCAAGTCGGGTGCGAGCCGGCGGGGCGCAGTGCCATTTTACGCAATCTCAAGTGGACCACTACTCTTCCGCTCGCACTGACGCACGGGGGTTCCAGTCTGAGGGCAAGCTGTCCAGTGCTGAAACCCCCTCTGGGGAAGTACGTCGGGCTGGAACAAACTGCTCCCTTCGGTGTTTTATGATGGAAACCTCAGGTCGAGCAGGTGTTTACGGGGACATTTGTCCGTGTAATAACCCTTGTTTTGGACTGTGCTCAGAAAGCAAACCAGGTCGTACATTGTAGGTGCCAGGGCGAAACCCTGTTGTTCTTAACGGGGTTATTCGCGGCTTCCGTACCATCGGTACCAAACACTCCCTGGACTGATTAACAGACCGAAGAGAAGCAGTCCGCACTTGTAAGGGACATCCTTTGAGATTGTAAGTCAACAGATTCCCTGTCGTGGGGTTAATATGCTGATGTGCTAAACATGCACTTCCCAGGTTGAAGTGGAGCATTTTTGAGCCGGTTCTTTTAAGATAATTCTGCTTGGAGCTCAGACAATCTCAAATTGCCGAGGTCTGTTCCCCTTCGTTTGAACAACGGAAATACTTGGAATGGAGAGCCCGCTCTTGAACGTTTGTTCGACGGGTTATCACAGGATATAGCCTGTTCTATATCTTAGAGGAATTTCCTCTCTCAGAAAACGGTTTGACTCTCTCCGCGGCCTGTGAGTACAGAATGCCCGGAGACGAGGGAGAGGCTGACATTGGGTCGGAGGCCGTAGGCCTCGAACATCTCCTGTGATTTCTCTTTAGAGTCAGCAGAGCATGGGGACATTGGTCTCCCACCCATCAGTCTCAATTTGGTCGCGTTCCTTGCGGGCCTTTATTGGTCCCGGAGCACTGTAGTACCTTAATCGAACAATCCCCCACGGACACTGCGCATGCTTTGTGGGTGGTGGGTGTTTTAACACCTCGGCATCACTGCGTTTGGCACCGTGATGGTGGAGGCTGTTCACAGTACCAGCCGCACGTTGCGTTGTGCACGTGATAGTAAGAGGTTCACAGCACCATCCGCCAACGCGGCTTGCACGTGATAGTTGGTGGGCTTCAAGAGCCCCCACAGCTGACACTGCATTTGCACGTGACAGCGGAGGGCTCCAAGCCCCAGTCGTCATCTGCGTCTGCCACGTGACGAAGGTGGCTTCGAAAACCCCTGACGGCCCACTCGCGCGCATGGCGTTTAAAAACCCCCCTGTCGCCCACTGAAGCATGCGGCGTGGCGAAGGTGCCTTCCACAGGACCCGTTTCAATGTCCGCCGTTTTGGAGGAGATGCCGTAGCTGCTCTCAAAAAGGGGAACAATAGGCGGACTGTTTATTGTTTCTTCTTTCATTTTTTGACTGCGCCCTTGGTTAACCTGGATTGCGTTCAGCGGAAATGGGGTTTATACAACAAAAACAACAATATTTGGGACAGGTATGTGTAATCTGTGCACTTGAGGATGGCGTGAGGCATCTCCTCGAGGCAGGAACACATCTGGACTGGCGAGGAACGCAAGATCTGGTCACAGAGCGGGAGAAGAGGGAGGCCGGTCAGGTTGCTTCGCTTGCCTTCTCTTCCCGCAGGTGCTTCGAGTGATTCTGGGGGTCGGTCGGCGCCTGCTGCCGGGAACCGGAATCTGCCGCCCCAGCTCGCCCCCCACTCTCCTGCCTGGCTGGGGACTCGGGTCGGGCTCTGCCTCAGTATCATAAAACGAGGCAGGGTGAGGGGCATTTCGGGCCGGGGGCTTGCCGTGAGGACCGTCGTAGGGTGGCGGGCTGTTACCCAGAGGCAAAATGTCCGGTTACCGCTGTCAAGTCGTCTCCCATAAGGGCTGGCCCAGACCCGCTCGCCAGATCCCTCAGAGCTCTGGCCTGGGTAGGCAAGTTAGCAGCGAGGAGATGTTGAGGCCTGCGGGGACAAACGGCTGCGGCCGTTGGTTAGAGCTCGACCGCCAGCGTGGGACTGCAGTCGTCCGCTTCACCGGCAGCGTGGTCGCTGCTCGGTGGCAGAGCGCCATCCTCAGTGAGAGGTGAGCTGCCACCAGCGGTTTCCATTGGGCCCGGTATGCGGAGCAGGCCGAGCCTTCTCCATACCGTCACAGTCCAGGGACGGAGCACCCTCGATGGCTCGTTACTGTGAGGGACGGTCTCTCCAGCGAGACCGGACACCTCATCCAGGCAACTCTGGAAAAAACCGTCAAGGAGTTGCCTCGTGGATTAGTATCTACCATCTTTTCTTCGTTTCTCCTCGGCTGCTTGGTGCGCACATTTTTCCCCTCGTACGCGGGACCTAGAAGTCTCCTTGGCCATTCTCGGGCCATGGAGATGTTCTAGCCTGGATGCAGCACGTTGACACGGCCTGCAGGTCCACGCTTTCAGGACAGGGCGAAGCTGGTGTGCTATTGGTTCCGGCAGAGCAGCCATATCGCTTCCCGCATTGTCAAGGCTGGAGTTGATCGTGTGAAGAGGATACTTTCTCCTGCTTATGTTTCCGAATTCAGAGGCAGGAACTCAGAGGCTATCCTCTTCGTTCTCCACTATTCTTCTTGACTCCGGGGTATCACGTTAGTTTGGCCATGGTTGGATCCCAGCCGGCCACTTTGGTATTTAAGCGTCTGGGGTCCCCACGTCTCACGTCCCTAGCCGCTACGAGTACCCAGCCCTAATACAGGGTGGGACTCAGATTCTGCAGCTGCCACCGCTGATGGACCCCAGACCGACACAGTGCGGGGTTCAATCTTAGCGGGGAACGTCCTCGTGTCCTGATAGCCATCCGGCGCGTCAGAGTACGTGAGGAGGTCCCATCTCGCCAGGCTAGTTTTTAGCCGTTGGCGGAGGCTCTTTCGGGACATGCGGGAGCAATGCCCGCACGAGCCGGGGTTATCGACAGCCTCCTGGGCGTGTTCCAG